ATGTCATTCACGGATCTGACGGTTGCCAAATCACGGCAACAGTGTGAAAGTATGTTGAGTTCATCAGTGAAAGGTATGGAGTTGGTCAACTGTTTTGCATAGCCGCTGTTTCGCGAAGCGAACACTCCGAAACTAAAGGGTAATGAGCCGATACGGCCTTACGATAGCATACAGTGAGCATCGATCGGGTAGTGAAGAGCATGATCTGAATACGACACATCAAGCAACATCCCGTTTTGGATAACAGCTGGGGTGATGGAAGAGTGCCGAAGGGTTTGGACTGCCAAGGTTGGGCGGGAGTAGTGGCCGAGTGGTCGAGACAGATATCGAGGCTGCCTTATGAAGGGCGTGGGGGATCGGCGCCACTGACCACACAATATGTTCATGGAAGAGACGGTGAGCTACTGGAGTACATCTTTCCGAGTCGACAACACCAGAGTCATCCTGATGGCGGGATGGAGTCGTTGTCATCGACGCGTCAGTCGTACGAATAGACCTCACCGATGTCGGGAGTGCCTACCATCTAGTTAAGGTATGCTGGTGCGATTCGCTCACCAATCCACTGCGACCAGCCACCGGTCTTGTTCCAGATAGACTGTTACTGTGCCCGACTGGTGCCTGGTACAGTACATGTCGAGAGGAGGATGAAGAGTAGATTACAGGGCGGCACACTCCGCCTGTGATCGGCTCGGTCGTACCGCGCAGAGCCACCTCAAGGTCTCTTTTATCGAGCCTAAGCTGACGTACCTTCAGCAGGAGGGAACACCAACATTCAGTGTCTCTTCTGTGGTGAACTAGTAACCTCATCCAAAAGGCGTTGGACTGTCCGTCGTTCCTTCAAAAGTTGTTCAGTGACCTCAGCAACCCGGGTACACTCAGCGTTGTAATCTTCCAGAGACATTGTAATCAACTGCCGTGCCTGCAACTTATGTACCATTAAATCAATGAGTACACCCACGGAGCTCTGGTCGAGACTGGTCTGGTTAGTGACCCTGCTGGCTAGTCCTCCTTCCTCGTAGCCTCGTACCTCCTCGACCAATCCATCGCTGATCTACTGCCCAAGAGCACCCTACCCGTCTTCCGGCCTGCCCTTTGGTGAGGATGTTCTCAGTGTTGATCCGATCCAGCCTTTCCACCGTCGTTGTGAGTCTATCACATTCCTCTTGCAAGCCGTGACGCTGTAGAATGAGCAACTGCCTGAAGCCGTACGTCGTCACTATCAAGCATGTTCGAGCCTACCTCTGCGATGATTCCCGCTCAACTGCTGCTTCAAGTATTCCTATTTGCTCGACGGCAGAGGTCAGCTTCTCATTTGCTTTATCTAGTTTGTGAGAGAGCTCATCTCGTTCGATCGAGACGGAGATCAGCTCAGTCGCCTTCTCATCTACCTAAGCCCACTTGGTTGTGTCATCAGCACCTCTACTCACCCGCTGCTGGAGTTCTTCCACACGCTGGTATAATCTACATAGACGGCACCAAATCATTAGAAAGTTGAGATGGACTCACTTCTGAACTTTCTCTTCTGCGGCCTCCGTTCTCGCCCCTTCGCTGGCCAGCCCCGACAAGGACTCATGATGTTCTCCCTCCTCTCTTCGGACCTACTTATCCACCCGTCCATCCCCCCAGCGGCGGTAGCCATCACCCTGATGAGCCCTTCCTCCCGCCGATCAGACTCCTTCTCCACGCTGTTCTCGCCGGAGTGATTTCGAATTGATTCATGCTGTTGCAGTGACTCCCTATTAACTTTCGACCTGTCGAATGCTTGCCGAGGGAGTGGTCGTAGATCGCCTCACAAACGTATCTCCTTCTTTGCCGTCTCCAATAATAACTCCAACTCTGACACCCTACTCCTTTCTTTCATAAGGCTATCTTGGAGATCGCGTATTGTGCCATCAGCTGTCACCTTCCCCTCCTCTTGACGACGCTCGAGCCGCCCCAATTGGGCAATCTGAGGACCACAGCGCCCAGGAGGCAGCATACACATAACAAAACCCTCTTTCTCAGCTCCCCGGCATCTACCTGCTCGGGAGCACAGTTCGAGTGGTCGCATCGAGCGTCATTCCTCCTTCTCTCCTCTTGCAACCCTACCGTTAGTCGATCGACCTACCCGAGCCTGCATATTATTCGAACACCACTGGTGGATACCTCAGCTGCCAATGAGGTGAGCTCAGCCTCCATTGCTGCCACCTTATCACTGCCTATTCGTAGCAGCTTTCCTTCTGCCTCCAGCTCCGCGCACCTATAACCGCATACGGAACAAGATGGTGGGAATGATAACAGCTGACCGGACATCGGCGGCCTCTAGCCGACTTCTCGAGACCTCTCTAGACTCAATACCTGGTAACAAAGCACAGTCGTTGCTAATGATGTAGAGGTAGCATGAACGATGTGGCATTCGTAGAAGGGAATGCATCATCGTAAGAGCCCGAAAGACCCTGACCATTGTAGAGATGTTGCACATACTCATCGTTCAACATCGCTGAAAAACTCACACTGACATGCTGCATCGGTGGTTTGGATACAGCCAGATCCCCTATAGTCGAGAGCCTTCCGTGTGGATGGGTCCTTTCCCAACCCAGCCCGCGGTCGACCCTCCTGTCCAGAGTACTCCGTATCGACAGCTCGGGGAGGGACTGGAGAAGAATATACAAACAGGGCGGTAGAAGTGACTTACCATGAACACCTCCATTCTGGAGAAGGGAAGAGGAATCTAGGAAAACAGTATCCACAACTACACGATCAACCTCTCCCCACCTCTCGGTAGACCCGGGGCTTCCCCAGAACGTTGCTCTATAATTGCCGGGGGTCGAACGTTGTCGCTATGACCAATACCGAATACCCTCCTTCGCATGGACTCGAACTTCTCATTCGAGCTTCTACTCCCGGAAGAAGCAAGGTTCGGTAGAGAGACTCCAGCATCTCGGTTATGGTGTGCGGCCTGTGAAGTGAATGGCCGAGGATGAGAGGATGAGCAAGGATAGACGGACAGGTAGGCGGGTCCGGTCTGTGACACTGTCATGATGCCCATCATGACTTGACTCGACCGAATAGTCTACACCAGTCGCGGGGAGAGTCGATGCTGGTGACACGACCTACGACTGCATCACCAACACCATCTACATACCCACCCATCACCATGCCTCTCTCCATCTCATCATCATGACAGACGACTTCCAAAGGCCTCGGCCGTCGCCTTGGGGCATGTGGAACATCTTTAAGGAGGGATAGAGTTGCACTTGGGGCCAGCCTAAACGACAACCTCCTTGGCCACAGTTGAGCATCTTTAAAAACTCGTTCTCGTCCCCACCATAAGGCTCCGAAAGAAAATCCGTCGACGCCCATCCATCTGAAGCTCCCAAACGCTGCCCCTGAGTTACTTCCAAGCTCCATCATCCCTCCCTGACCTATGCAGGACTATCTCAATATTCAGCATCCTATCCACTCCGCTGCCCTCTACTCTTCTAGTAGAAGAGGGTAGTAGAAGACTTCTACTACCCTCCTCTTCTACTCTATCCTGGACACACTG